GCCGTTGTAATTACACGGCCGGCCGGGAGCTTTACATTCAAGCGATCGGGCGTCTCTAGAGACGCTCCATCGCTTGTATTAGCAGCTGTCACTGCCGTTGCCTGTGCCAAGATCCGCTGTGCCCGATGCGGCTGGGACCGGCACGGCTCTGTGACAGGAGACCAAAGGGAGTTCAGTAGTATACGAGATTACATCACTTCCAGTGTCACTCTCCAGCTACAGAAGCTTATGATGCAGATCTCAGCTTCATCAGCTTCTCTGGGGGTCCCTAGGTGACATTAAGGGTCTTGGAGACCCCTGATGTCTCCATAAAGAGGACTTGTCATGTAAATTGGCTATCACATAGGGGGCTTCTTAGCCCCCCATGTAATAGCAATAAAGTTGTGTGTAAAACAAACAAAAAAAATACAAAAATGAAAGAATCATAAAAAAATAAAGAAGCATCAAAAAAAATTAAAGAAAACCTTTTTTTTTTTAAGGTCCCCGCCCCCTACATACACACGCAGATATGCGGGGTGTGCCTACATGCAAAAACGACGATTGCGCCCATTACGCCGCACTCCCCCCAGTGGTGATAATATACCTCCAAAATAAAGCTCTATCTGGCCCCATAAAATTTTAACATAAATTGCAAGGCTATAGTCTGGTCATGCTGACTGGTGACATTTTTGACCGACTGGTGAGACACCATCAAATTTTTCAAGCCCTGAATATTATACACAGGAAAATAATTATTTGATCCCCTGCAGATTTAGTAAGTTTGCCCACCTACAAAGAAATTAAAGTATAATTTTTATCATAGGTGTATTTTAAATGATAGAGACAGAATATCAACCAAAAATCCAGACAAAACACACGATACAAATGTTATAAATTGAGTTGCAGTTCAGCGAGTAAAATAAGTATTTGATCCCCCAAGCAAAACATGACTTAGTACTTGGTGGAGATACCCTTGTTGGCAATCACAGAGGAAAGACGTTTCTTGTAGTTGGCTGGCAGGTTTGCACACATCTCAGGCTCATGAGGGATTTTGGTCCACTCTTCTTTATAGATCTTTTCTAAATCCTAAAACAACGCTACACCATAATCCCCCCTCCACCAAACTTTACATTTGGCACAATGCAGTCAGGCAAGTACCGTTCTCCTGGCAACCGTCAAACCTAGACACGTCCATCGGATTGCCAGACAGAGAAGCATGATCTAGAACCAAGGGGTGGCGTGCTTTACACCATTGCATCCAACGGTTTGCATTGCACTTTGTGATGTAAGGATTGGGTGCAGCTGCTCGGCCATGGAACTCATTCAATGAAGCTCTTTACGTACTGTTGTGCCAATATGAGGGCCACACAAAGTTTGGAGGTCTGTAGCTATCGACTCTGCAGACAGTTGGTGACTTCTGTGCACTTCAGCACGCGCTGACCCCACTCAGTCATTTTACGTGGCCTACCACTTCGTGGCTGAGTTGCTGTTGCTTCCACTTTGTTATAATACCACTAACAGGTGACTGTGGAATATTTAGTAGCAAGGAAATGTCACGGAACACCTGAATCCAATGATTTGGAGGGGTGTCCCAATACGTTTGGCAATATAGTGTATACTGCTATATTTTCCACAGGCTCTTACACTAGATTTTCTAACCCCTATGGAAGCTCAGCAACCTCACAGATGCATTTTCTCCTTTTTTCTCACATTGTATTCAACTATTTTTTAACATAACAACATAAGGATCTCTGCCATGACCTTCTGCCTTTGTTTTTATTCTTTATTTTTTGGAGGTACCCTAGCCCGGTTCTGTCCTTAATCAGGCGAATGCTCTTAGCAGTACTGCTAATATTCTTGTCTCTCGCCCCATGGCAATTGACGCTTCGCTGGACCAGGAGGACCAGTTTTCTTAGACCTATAGCTTGAGGTCAGGGTTAGGCATTCCATTTCACTTGTCTGAGGCTGAAGTAAGCCTTCATTCGCTTTATATACACCCTACCCCTTCAATGACATTGACTTTGTCAGAATGAACCCCTGAGTTCTCTATGGGACTCAGGGCCACTTCACACCCCTTGTGGTCTGTGGTGTTTTGGTAATACAGTGCTTTCCCTGGTAAGTCTCGCATAGCAAGATTGGTTGTCTGGGCAGACGACCTCTTTAGTCAGAGTTTTTGTCCCTTTTAATCCAAGGGCATCTGAGGTGTAAATGCTTTGGGCCGTCTTATGTAGACTGGTCTTTTTCACCTGGACCTGTTTCGTGCCAGGTTCCTTCTTGGGACCTGTTGCTTCCAGGGTTTTCTTTTGACCACATCAGGTTGTGGGTCTATTTTTCCCTAAACAGGGATTTGGTTCTGGTTGATCAGCTTCTTACTTGAACCAGGTTTGGTGTTCTGATCCATGTGGAGTAACTCCTCTCTGTTGTTGACCCTTCTGTCTTGGTCTGGATCATCAGATTGATTCTCTGTGTCCTTTCTCTGGTCATGTGGCAGGTTCCCCTATCAGATAGGGGTCTTGGCATGATCAGGTGTCAGATTTGGATGTTTTTTTTCCGTCAAGTGACTGCAGGCAGTTCCCAGTTCTGTTCTGGTGAGCCTGTCAGAGGTTGTTCTGTTGCCCACCTGTCAGTTGGACACATTTTGGAGGTCCGCCACAGTATCTGAATTCTTGTATCCCTTAATGTACAAGAAAGAAAATAGGATTTTTATACTTTGCAATCTTAGACTTTTGTACTCTGTACTTTTGTAATCTGTTTCTTGGAGTCCAGGGACACAGGTACCATCCCTCTATGTTTTATGTTCATGCTTTCAGTACTGCTTGCTACAAACTGAGGCATGGTGGGTAGGGAAGCGGTTATCCTGGGGCTTGCTTACAACTCTTTTTGTTTGCCAGTGTCCAATCCTCCTGTTATAGTTTAACCCAACAGTATCTGAATTCCTGTGTCCCTCAGTGTACTCTAAGAAAAGGTTTTTATGGTGAGTACATAAATCCTATTTTTTTAAAATGTCAAAATAAAAAAAACTGCATCTGTATGGCCACACTGCTTTTGTAACTTCTAATTATGAGCATGTTCAATCTCATTTATTGGGGAAGAGTGTACAATTGGGATATTTAGAGCCCGTTCACACCAGTTGCAGTGCGTTCCGGCCCGATTCTGGCCGGAACGCACTGCCTCGCATTGCGGCCAGCTCACTTTTTAGTGGGGTAGGAGGGGGGATGGCGGTCCATTGATGTGAATGGTGCCATAGCCACACCCTCCAGCCGCAATGCAACAGCCCACACGGGATCGCAAGGCACATTGTGCCTGCGGTCCGGTGCGATCAAAATAGTGCTTGCAACATTTTGATCGCACCGGACCGCAGTGCCTTGCGTGATCCCTTGCGGCCGGAGGGAGTGGCTACGGTGCCATTAACTTCAATGGACAGCCACGCCCTCTCCTACCCCACAAAAAAGTGAGCCGGCCGCAATGCGAGGCAGTGCGTTCCGGCCAGAATCGGACCGGAACGCACTGCAACTGTTGTGAACGAGGCCTTAGAGTGAACTGAGTATTGGATGCAAAATTACTTTTTTGGGTTGATTAGAATGATAAAGATTTTGATCTTTGTTTTTTTTCCCCTCTTGTAGATCTGGGTGATGGCTGTAACAATTGTGCTCACATTTGGAGTGACGTTGTCAGTGTTTCCAGCAATTACTGCAGCAGTTACTACTAATGTAAAAGATGATGAAACTTGGAGTGAGTTTCTAATACTTTTTTTCTGTTTTCTCTCAGAACGGCATTTATTTGAATATTGTAGCACTTTTGTTAATATTTGTGCTTTAATACATTTGTTTTCCTCTTTTAGGTCGTTTTTTTAATCCTGTTTGCTGCTTCTTGATTTTTAATGTAATGGACTGGATTGGGCGGAGCCTTACCTCTAAAATTTTGTGGGTAAGTTCTTTCCAGCTATTCTGTTTTTTATACGCATGTAAAATATAGGAAAAGAGAGGGTAACTCAAAGCAACTGTTGGGGCACAATTTGTTTACTGATCTGACTTTAAGGGGTCTATTCATGAAGCTGCCGAAGGATCTGGCCGTAGCTTCGTCCGATCCTTCGGCTAGCCTCGGCCCCAGGACCCCTTCGGTTCAGCAGAACCGAAGGGGTGCTGTAAAGGCTATTCACAATAGCCCGTACAGCTCCCGATCATGACCGCTGAGCCGTGCTGAAAGCCGAAGCTGGCCGGCCGACAGCCTGCTTCTGACAGCTGGGCTCTGGCCACTTTCAGAGAGATCTCGGAGGTTCGGCTCAGCTGATCCAGATGTTGGATCGGCTGAGTCGAACTCCTTCTGCACTTCGGGTCGGCCAAACATGCTGAGCATGTTCGGCCGACCCGAAGCCACGCGAAGCAAGTCGATGTACGGCTGATTTCAGCAGATGTAGCGCTGAAATCAGACGTACCAGCCTGAAGTGAATAGCCGAAAAGTGTTCATCTCACTTCACTTCAGATCGGTCATTCACTCGGCTGCCTACGGCAGCTTAGTGAATAGACCCCTAAATGAAATTACCGTATTTTTCCGTCTATAAGACGCCCCCCACTTCTCTTACCCAAAATTCAGAAATCAATATTTTCCATGCTCTTTTGCATAACTGATTACATTCAGTTTAAATTTTGCAGAGTAAGACAGCCGCTTACTGGTACCTGTATTTACCGGGATTTTTTTAGTCTTCTGACATTTTTATGGGCTCCCTGTTGCATCTGGGCACTGGCTACACGCTCTCCGCAGCATAAGCTGACGTCGGGTACATAAGGCTCATGATTGGAGGAAACCTGTTAGCTTGTCTCTGCAATCGGAAGTTTCACTCGTGAGGCTAGTTTGCAGAGGTATCGGCAGTTTCGCAACCGCGGTTCTCCTCTCAGCCCCCTGTGTATAAGACGCCCCTCCATTTTTAGGTAAATATTTTTAAGAAAAAGTATAGTCTTATACATGGAAAAATACAGGCAGTTCAGTCTGGTTGCTATGAGTTACTTGACTTTGCTATTACATTGCCCTAAATAAAGCTTCTGGTACAATGCTAGTTTACTATTGGCTATTGCAAATTGAAATAGCCAATAGTAATGTACCAATGCTTTTAATTTTTTTTTCTATTCTGACATCGCTTGTGTCAGAATAAAGAAAAAAAGACACAGCAGTGTTTCTCTCCTGGGCGGCCGGGAGCGGGAGGCGCCCGGGAGAGTTTTTTTAATTTTATTTATTTTTTGACAGCAGCAGAGCCGCCGGACAATAGGAAACTATTGGGCGGAGCTGGCTGTCACCGCTTGCTCCGCACAATCGTTTTCTATTTACTTTTTTTAACTTTTTTCACTCTTTCTGTTCTGCTCGGTCCCTCAGAGGGACCGAGCAGAACAGCCGAGCCAAATGCCGTTCAGCGGCATTCGGCTATTCACTCACTGCTGTTTGGGATCTTTAAGAATAGCCCGAACAGCAGTGAGAAGCCTGTCGGAGGTTCGGCTCAGCTGATCCAGATGTTGGATCGGCTGAGTCGAACTCCTTCTGCACTTCGGGTCGGCCAAACATGCTGAGCATGTTCGGCCGACCCGAAGCCACGCGAAGCAAGTCGATGTACGGCTGATTTCAGCAGATGTAGCGCTGAAATCAGACGTACCAGCCTGAAGTGAATAGCCGAAAAGTGTTCATCTCACTTCACTTCAGATCGGTCATTCACTCGGCTGCCTACGGCAGCTTAGTGAATAGACCCCTAAATGAAATTACCGTATTTTTCCGTCTATAAGACGCCCCCCACTTCTCTTACCCAAAATTCAGAAATCAATATTTTCCATGCTCTTTTGCATAACTGATTACATTCAGTTTAAATTTTGCAGAGTAAGACAGCCGCTTACTGGTACCTGTATTTACCGGGATTTTTTTAGTCTTCTGACATTTTTATGGGCTCCCTGTTGCATCTGGGCACTGGCTACACGCTCTCCGCAGCATAAGCTGACGTCGGGTACATAAGGCTCATGATTGGAGGAAACCTGTTAGCTTGTCTCTGCAATCGGAAGTTTCACTCGTGAGGCTAGTTTGCAGAGGTATCGGCAGTTTCGCAACCGCGGTTCTCCTCTCAGCCCCCTGTGTATAAGACGCCCCTCCATTTTTAGGTAAATATTTTTAAGAAAAAGTATAGTCTTATACATGGAAAAATACAGGCAGTTCAGTCTGGTTGCTATGAGTTACTTGACTTTGCTATTACATTGCCCTAAATAAAGCTTCCGCCATAGCCAGCCGCCATAGCCAGCACTGAAATCGTAATTGTCATTTGTGTCAGAGGCTGGAGTGAGTTTTGACATCACCCTCTGCCACATGTAATTATGCTCAGGCCTAGCGATTTGCTCCTCTATAACTAAAAACATCAGATTAGAAACACACTATCATTTTGCCTTGAATGACCAAGGTGACAGTGTCTCTTTAATTGTAGACTTCACCTTATACTGGTCTGACATAAGTAGAATGAATACTCAATGGTTGCCAAATGCAAGAATGAGCACTAAACAATAAGAACTATTTTGGCGGATTCTGGCCAGAACGCACTGCCTCGCATTGTGCCGGCTCACTTTTTAGTGGGGCAGGAGGGGGCGTGGCGGTCCATTGAAGTGAATGGCACCGTAGCCACGCCCTCCGGCCGCAAGGGATCACGCAAGGTACATTATGCCTGCGGTCTGGTCCGATCAAAATGCTGAAAGCACTATTTTGATTGGACCGGACCTCAGGCATAATGTGCCTTGCGATCCAGTGTGATCAGAATCGGACCGGAATGCACTCCATCTGGTGTAAACGAGGCCTTACTGTGGGATGTCTTATATTTCTATAACGTCATATAAATGGCTAGCTCTGTTTTGAGTTCTTTGTTTAGTAAATAACTGCTATTAGTCTGTTGATTTAGCTACCTCAGTAACAACCAGCATCTTGACGATTATTGCATATTTTTTTTCCCATAGCCTGGTCCTGACTGTAAGTACACACCATTGCTGGCTGCCAGCCGCTTTATCTTTGTACCTCTCTTCATGTTCTGTAACATCGATGATCGTCGGTATCTTACCACCTTCTTCTACAATGATGCTTGGTTTGTCATTTTCATGATGCTCTTTTCTGTCAGCAATGGATATTTTGTATCCCTACCAATGTGCTTGGCTCCCAAGTAAGTAAAATATGTTACTCTCTATAATAGTATATATTTGATAACTGGCAAAAGTGTTCCTACTCCAGAACAGGCAAGGTTGGGGATATTACAAAGAACTGGTTTGGGTGAAATTCAAACTCAATTTTAGTATCTGATCAGTGGTAGCAAGAGGGAGCGGGGAGAGGAATTTTAACTGCCTGGAGGGAAGGTGAATTGACCGCAGGGCAAGTAATCTGGCAGAAAGGAATGTGAAGTGGTGCTTAGTACTGAAAACACTGGTGTGGTCTTCCATAAAATGGTATCCTTGGCTATCAGTTTGTTGAAGACAACAGCAATGTTTTCACTGTTGAGCACAAGGTGAATGGGCAGGTGATGGGGGTGTTGCAATGAGTATTTATTGGTTTCTATAGCAATGGTACCAATGTTTGCAATTGCCAGATTGCACAAGGCTTACAAAGGAGGGATCTGTTAAAGACTACAGCAGGATTTTAACATCAGAGCACTTGGTACATTAGTAGGATGACGCATATTGCCCCACTTCTTTTGTAACCCCCATATGGCTCTGCACTCGTAACTAGCACTCTGCAGTAAAAACACTGTTGTTGTCAACAAAATGGTGGCCGCTATTTTGTTGAATACTGCTGCAGGCAGTGAGCTGGGCATCTCTTCTGCCCCCATTGTGAGGTCAATTTATAATATGGAATTCTGGAAAAGCCTGTCCTAATGTATGCTGTATGCTTCTGAATGGCTGCTATTGGGCAGCCGAGAGTCACAAAACCCGCTACACACTTTGCTGATTGCCCAGGAAGTGAGAGGGAGGGCGTGGATGGCTCTCCCTCATTTCCTGAGTTTTTCTTCAACTGGACTTTTATATACAGTAATTAGGGATAGAGAAATTGTTACATAATATTGTATTGCTGAATGTCCCCTTCACCCTGTTAAATTATTAAGATGTAGCGCAGAGTGTACCTAATTCATTTTACCTATCCTTTTTTTTCCATTTACAGGAAAGTATTGCCACATGAGAGTGAGACCACAGGTGCTCTCATGACATTCTTCCTTGCCTTGGGACTTTCATTCGGAGCCGGTTTATCCTTTGGCTTCAAAGAACTTTTATAAAAGGATAAAAAAGCTGATACTTACCAGTCTGCTCTCCCATTATCAAGAGTATTCTGCCTGGTTTTTGATCTTCCTCTTCTATTTTATACAGTCAAGAGCCACCAGCTGAAATAGCTACTGATGGCATTCAGATGTTTACTTGTTTAGGTTGCCTTTTTATTTTCGCTTTTATATGCTTGTAATTTAATTGTAAAAATGTATTGTTTTTTACACGTTCTATATAACATAGGACAGTCTGTATTATATTTAGGACTAAGTATTTAGTCCTAAATATAATAGGATTCATATATATAGGAACTACATTTATCAAATTTGGGTTACCAAATTTTCACATTGGTTTACAGGTGATAATGTTCATACATAACAATAAATTAGATTTTAGATGCAAAGTTATATCAGAAAATGATTATAGTGTAGTGTAAGTAGCTCTATTCAGGTTTGTATATGCTAATACACACAGCCACTCTGATACCAAATGATAGGCCTAAGACTGGCCATAGACTGCTCGAATTTCATCCGATTCTATTTAAAAATCAACTGAGACGTGTGCAAAATGATTGATCGAACAGTGACTGCATCCTATCAGTGCCACTGTATTCCGCAGTTCAGATGCCAATGCTGCTCTATACATTAGCTGGCAGTGGAGATTCCTCCATCCACGCTGTTTAGGAATTGTGCTGTGTATGGCTAGTCTAATGTCTGCAAAGGTTGTAGGCAGCAAATAGAGGCAGGTCTAGGCTGGAACAAAATATAGTTATTTAACAAAAAATTTTTTGGATAGGAAAAGGCTAGGCCCTGTGGCAGGTTTTATTGCTGTCTAGGTCCCCATTGGGGAAGATACTTTTTAATCTTAGTGAATCACTGGGAAAGGAAGCAGAAGGATCTCTCTAATAGTGATATATACAGTAATATATACCACCTTCTTTTAATTAAGTGGGGAAGGTTTAGGACCTCTGTTTTGTTATTACAATCTGTGTCACCATTTAAGAGAAGCGCAGGAAGTGAGATGAAATTTCCACAATAGGGACAAAGCAACAAAAAAAATACATTTGACAGAGTTTATAACCCTTTCCTACACAAAACTAAAAAAATAACTAGTGGCCATAATGTTTTTTTTTTTTTTTTTTAAGGAGGATTTTAAAGAGAACCCATAAGCTGGTCACATATGTATGAATATGTGATCAAACTACTGTATGAGTGAGCGATCACAAACATGTGATTCATCATTGATTAAAATAGTGAGCAATGCAAAACAAAAACATTGAACCATAATACATCTAAACAATTATTTAAAGCCAAACTCAGGGCTAGAAAAACAATACCCCTCACTGTGAGGATTAAATGATCATTAACTCTAGGGTGTAGAGGAAGAGGCTTTATTACTTACCTCATTGCAGGCTCCACCACGCTCTTCGTCTCCCTGATGCTCCGAGCTGTGGGTCGCCCCGTGACATCACATGCAATGGAGGACTATTAGTGCTGCATTGTATGTGGAGAAGGCAAGTAGGCGATCGTGGCTGTGATTTTAATCAGTATATTCACATTGAATGATCATATTGATACGTGTGTGGCCACCAACAGATAACAACACATTTTTATGTATTTTACTTATATATTTTTTTTTTAGCTGAACTATGTGCACAGATGCATTGGATATATATGCAGTAGTGGGGAATTGTTTAGTTTCTTTTTTTTATTTATAGAATAGTAATAAAGATTTTGTTATTTATAACTCTGTTACATTTCATCTTGGTAAATCAGTCAAGTTCTATATTCTCTCTGACAATAACAGTATATTCATACTCCATACTTCTATGTGTATTCAGTAATATGTTGGATCAAACAACACTGCAAGCAGATAGGTTTGTGCTGACTTTGCACTGTGGTCATATCATTGGTTTATATAGGTAATAAGTTAGGAGTTACTTTGAGTAACATGGTAGTGTAAGTAAGACTTGTGACAGGTCTATTTCTGCAGACACACACTGAGCCGATCGATATCTGTAACCCACAAGTGAGTGCTGGAGGCTGCACTAGAAGAAAGCACAATCTAAGCTTCACTGCAAGCTTGCAACTTTAAAGTTAACATGTTATAACAGAAAGGGTGTGATCATTTCTGATCTCCTTAAAATGCTATTTGCCTGGCTATTATGCTAAACCAATGGCTTCAATCATTTTTGAGTAACTGAAGCAGAAAAGCTATGTATGTCTGCAAAGTGAAAGGTCCAGCAATCAATATTTTCATACCAAGAGGACAGAATGGCAACTTTCATGGGTTTCTAATGACAGGCTTCCTTCAGAAGTCAAAACGGAGATCCCGTCTTGTCTGCAGTGATCTTATGCCACAGCTCATCCAGTGGCCTGATTCAATAGCCTGTCAGGCATGTGCTCTATATTGGGAGCAGAAGACTTAGGGCTTGTTCACACCAAATGCAGACCAGATCTGCATGCGTTTCTGCACACGCAGTGCAGTGGTTTTTGATGCGTTCCTGGCCATTTGCATGCGTTCCAGAGCAGTGGTGTGAACTAGAGCCTGGAATACAGTTTTGATCTGGTCTGTAACTTCTCTGCTCCTGGAATTAGCTTGGTGTGAACAAGGCCTTATGGTTCTGTAGTATAGAGGATTTAACTATGCATCTTGATCAGAATCTTTAAAGACAGTAGAACATTCAGCATTTGTGGGGTGTTTGGCTATAGCTAGAAAAAACGTATTGGTCAGTGTTCTTTCTTTCCAAGTGAGAAAAAGTTGTGCCTGTTTGGCCATTTATCTATATGATCCTCTGTTAATGCAGGAAAAGTGATTGTTACTTAGGGGGTTATTCACAAAGCTGATGAAGGCAGCCGAGTGAATAACCCAGCTGAAGTGAAGTGAGCCGCACAACGTTCAGCTATTCACTCCGGCTCTGTACGGCTACATCGGCTGAAATCAGCCATACATCGGCTGCACTTCGGTCCTTCAGTGCAGAAGGACTTTGACTCAGCCGATCCAACATGTGGATCGGCTGACCCGAAGCTCCAGCAGCTCACTCTGCCGTTTGCCCCTATTTTCATAGGGGCCGAACGGCACTGAGTGAATAGCCGAATGCCGCCAAGCAGCATTCTGCTCGGTAACTCTGTGGTAAAGAAAATCAATGAAAAGAGTTTAAAAAAAGTTAAAAAATATATTTTTAATATGTAAATAAGTATTACAATTAAAAAATAAAGATTTTAAAAAAGCAATTAGTAGTGACAGCTAGCTCCGCCCAACTGTTTCCTATTGGCCAGCACCTGCTAGAGTCTTCTAGCAGGTCCCAGCCAATGAATAACAACTGGGCGGAGGCGGCCGTGACGTCCAGCTCCGCCCAGTTGTTATTGTTTAATGACAGATCAGCATACCCAGGTCATTTGGGGACGCTGATCTGTCATTACAACTGGGCAGAGCCAGCTGTTAGATCACGGCTGGCTCCGCCCAGCTGTCATTTACAGGGCTTTCGGCAGGCCGTTCACCCCGCTTCGGCTCAGTCGAGCCAAAACATGCCTTCGGCTCAGCTTGGCTGCCTTCATTCACTATAGCCCGTACAGCAGCCTTTGGTTTGACTGAACCGAAGGGCTCCGGCGGTCGAAGGATCAGCCGAAGCTACAGGTGGATCCTTCGGCTGCTTTGTGAATAACCCCCTTAGTCTTTTTGTGTTACAGTTCTACACCTTCTGTCAGCTCTGCATTTTAGCACTGGGGTGCACAGTTCTTAATTATCACTCGGTGTGCATCCACATATACAGCATGTGTGAGCAAAAAACTCTATTTTAAAGGCATATTCCACCTTTTGCAAGCCATTAATATATGCACCCATATTGCTAAAAGAAAAATCTGCATTTATTAAAAAAATGTTTTGCACTGGAGTCCTGCAAAGCATTGGATGACAATGGATGACCGGTGCAAATCACAGGCTCCTGCAGACTTGCTTCAGCCCCAGGTCCATATGGAGGTACAGACCTTCAGGTATGGAGCTGCAGGAAGTTACCAATTGACCACAAGTGCTGTGATCTCAGTGTACTCCATTGAGAATTATGAGTCCCTCTGCCAGAGTGGCAGATTGGACTTGTAGTTTTTTCCATCCACAGATCCTGTAAATGGATCTTAGAATAAATGATGTCACTACGCAGGCAGAGCCATGCACAGTTGCGTTGAATTAAAATGACTACATGAGCTTGCAAAGAGAAACACCCCCCCCCCCAGTTCAGGTAAATGGGGAATTGAGGTTACAGGGGTTGCAGAATGGCACAATTTTCCATGTTACACGCTAAATATGGTTTTCAAGTTGGAAATAACCTTTAAAGCTGTACTACATGCATCTTAAAGGAGAACTATGAGGTGAGTAATTTCCACTCATCATAGTTAGAGCTGACCTGTGACAAAGAAGCTGCCACAGGTCGGCTCTATCGATCGGGAAGGGAGCAGAAACATGCACCGATCCACTCACTTCCCACTCCACTCCCTGCAGTGAGCGGAGACTGTCAGTCACGGCTCCCTGCAGGGATTCCCCCCTCTCCGATCCTCCAGCACTGAGTGGAGGAACGAACGGGGGAAGGGGCGGGCACAGCTGGCTCTGTCTCTAGATAGGCAGAGCCAGCTGTCACTCAGCCAGCTGGGTGGATCTGGACAGTATTGTTGAGATCCGTCCTGGCTGCAGCGCCCTCAGTATATCGCAGGCAATTCCTATTTCATAAATGAAGAGGCTAGGAGCACATACAGTGTAATATATTTAAATCTGTAAATATATATATTAGGGCTGGTAATGATTAAAATTTTCCTGTTTGACACCTACGTTTGGTGTCACTTTAAATTTGAAAGTTCCCTTTTCTTTATTGAGAGAAGATTTGTTAATCTCTATGTAGGATCTTTTTTAGCACATTCATTATTAGTTCCAAATATAAAGCGGTACTTTTATCATAGGATGTCATTTAAGGAAGAGCTATAAACCTTGAGGGTGTGATTCTGAAATTGTTTTATATTTTCCATAATCATCTGTTAAATGG